ATTTTCCTGAATGGAAGCCACTTGGACACATTTCATTTCAGTAAAGTCCTATTAAAATTTGAAATGTCCATTCATCGGCTAGAACTGTGGGTTCAACTATTTTATTCTGAACACAGCACACTTAGACTGGAAGCACTTAACAGTCTGAGAGGACATCAAAGAACAAGGTTGCAAGTTGTACAGATGAACATGAGTATGCTCACATTGCATGTTGCATGCATAGTCTGGACTCACTGCCACAACTCATGCACAGGTGATTGGAGATTATGTGACCTGGCCCCAGTACAGTACTTTTATATTGGGAATTATGTTACCAGGTCTAACCAAATGGCCCAAGTCTAACACTGTCAGCCATTGAGCATTTGTCCCATTCACCTGTGTGATTATATGAGCCATCCTGTTAGTCAACAAAGATATAATTGAAAAAGTACTGAATAAAGAGGTTTTTATCTTATAAAAATACATCAGTAAGTCCTGTTGCTGAGTCTAGCAAAATGCAGCTTGCAAGATAAAACATGGTAAAATGAGCCAGAGGACTGAAAACACATGGTAAATTAATTGAGGTTGAAAGGGCCTATACCAAAGTGGATTGAACAATTCTTGTTAGTTGCCTCTGTGATAGGTTTCAATTCTAAGGGGAATAAAGTATTCCATCTGTTTAAATCCAAGTCTAGAGCTACATATAGTATCCCACCATGTATTCAGGAGAAGCCCTTAAGTATGTATGCTCACAAGGAAAAGGGCAGTGATGTGCTCACTACATCAGGGAAAAAACACAGTTAACCAGCACAGCAAAAACAAGGAAGCAAGATTAAATAACTAAAACAGCACATCAAAAGTCTAGGTATTACCAGGAAGACTGCCTTAAAAACAACACCCCCCCCCCCCAAAACAACAACTGAAATCCAACTTGGATTTAAACACAAGTTCATAAATCCTCACCCTTGGAACCACAGGTATCCTATAGTTCTGAAGCAATGTAAATAGAATATCTCTACTATCTGGCACATGTTCACTCACTAATCAATTCACCATTTGAGTTTAAAACAGGGCAATTTAATGATAACAAAAAGAAAAGTTCTAATTTAGAGCTAGATTGCAATCAGTTGAAAAATCTGCACATGGACAGTTATAATAAAACAGTTGAGCATTTTCTCATCTTCTATCCACTTACATATTTAATAAAGAGATAAACTTGTCAAAAACCTGTATATTTTAATACAGTATATTCAAAAAACTCCATTTTCCTTACCTCAACAAAACTAAAAGAATCTAGCATTCCTTTATTGTCATGGAAGGGCTACATCATTCACTTGAGACAATCCAGCATAATTATTGGTAAATTAAGATCTGAATTGTGTGTTTGTGTGCAATTGTGCAATTGTGTGCAATATGCAATTGATGTTGCTGTCTTAGTACAACTAGTTACTAGTTTGTGATGTAGGTCCATGGTTGAAAATAAGTGTTGAGTACAGTTATTCGATCTTCCCTTCCTTGGCAGATGTTTTATACCAAGAAAAAAGTTGAAAGAGATGGTGGGAAATAAATGAAGATTACATGTGGAAGATGATAGCCTATTAAATTCTGGAAACTTCCCCTCGTCACTAAGTGCTGTGAATGAGGTAGGGCGATTTCAGTATAAAAGGCTTGTCTTGAAGCACCTGATGCAAATCATCTGGATGTGCTGCAACCATGTGAAATACTAGAAATTACTTATGGTTTATGTGGCTGTTCAGGGCTCCAGTTGTCAGTTATGTATAAAATATTACCCTTTCACCCAGTTAAATCTATTTTTGTCGTCAATATTTTCCCCAGCACTTAGTTGTACTAGAAGTAATGTGATATTTGGATACTGACATGCACATTATGGGAAGTGTTACTTTCGTAAAGGGTAAACATCGTACAAGGAAAAATATTACTTTCTAATGTATAAGAAGTCCAGGAATTAGATGACTCATTTCAGGATCTGCACTGAAGATTTATTTTAACTAAACTCACTTCTAGAGAAAAACAATAAAGATAAGGTTATGTTCAAGTGCTACCCATGGAAAGTTCATGGACTTCTTCACCATTTTTCTTATAAAAGTAAATGGTTTTATTATATTCCCATTTGGTAGTGAGCCAGCATTCAAATCAAGGGAAATCCTAAACAGACTGCATCAAATTCTGTTATAGGCTGTGACATTTCAAATTATTATACTGAAGAAGGGTCTGCTATACATTAGAGCAGTCAATGCTGGGTAGACAGAGGTTTTCCATGACCTCACTAATGTGATAATTTAGTTCTGATCAGATAAACAGATGGTGTATAATAACTTGCAGATTTTTGAACTGTTACTGAAGTTCAATGAAAAGGAAACACATAATTGGTAAAACAACACTTATACATTTAATTCATATTTAGAAAAATATTTACATTAAGTTACATAACACACTTAATTTTAGATAATTAAACATTTATTGATACCCTATTAAATTGGTATGCCTCTTTATTGCCCCTAATTAAGCAGAAAATCACAATTAACACATGATACTGATCACCACTGGAGACATATCAGTTACTGAACTATGTGATATGATTTTCCCCTTAATATTTTCTCCAGCCTCAATTATTCTTTTCATGAATTGCTAAGCACAATCCCCCTGTGAAACAAAAAGTTTAATGGGGGTGTTGGCTATTGCTAACTCTGAACACATTTCCACAAAACTGTAATTATTAACATGGCTTGGCATTTTAATACATTGTATTGGATCCAGACTTACTAATCCTTTGAGGAAACCACGGAAATGAGTGGAATATTA